CAGCTGGCCCGGGCACCGGGGCACTGGGGCGGGTTTGGGAACGCCGCCGGGAGCCGCCACCTCCACCCCAACAGATTTCGTAACCCTGGAAAGGATGGGGCCCTTTCGCCTCCCCAGCTGGGTGCCCCTGGCGCTGCCCCATCCCATGCGTGGGGTGGCTCAGGGAAGGGTGGGCTGGGGGGTCCCTGTGTCCCCTTTGGGGTGCTGGGACCAGAGCCACTGGGGTTTTGGGGTGGGGGAGGCAGTGGCTCCCATGCCCTTCATTGATCCAGGGTGCAGGGAGGGTTTGGGATCGGGCCTGATCCTGCCAGGTCATGGGTGTCTCTCAGTCTGGTGGGCACGATGTTCACCGGAGCAGGGCTGAGTGGGCTCTGGCCCCCCGTGACCTTGTGGGGAGCCAGGAGGACGCAGCCCGGTGGCTCCGGAGCCCATCCTGCCCTGTGGCTTTTTTTTTTCCCTTCCCTTTGCTGTAGTTCAGGTTTGGGTGGAGATTTGGGGTTGGGTTGGTGCAGGAGGCCCCGGCCCCTCTCATCATCCCCCACGTACTGATCTGGGGCTGCTGGCATGGAGGCATGACCCTGCAGCACCATCCCCATCAGGAGATGTGCTCAAACCCTTCCTCCTCCTCCTCCTCCTCTGGCTCTCCCCGGGGCTCTGCCATGTCCCTCCGGCAGCAGCGCCATGAGCTGGTGTCCTGCACCGGCGGGGAGGGCGAGCAGAGCGTGTGCCCGGACCAGGAACGTGCCGGACTCTGTGTCTGCATTGGGCGGCCGGTGGCAGCTGATCCGGTGGCTGCCGTCCCACTCCAGTTCTTGGCCCCTGCAGGGACAAAACCCCTTCGACCTGGAGTTTGACCAGTCCAACCACCTGGAGCCCGTCTTCAACTTCGAGTGCCCGCCCCGTCCTGGTGAGCTGCGGGTGCCCTCCTGGGGGGCTGCGTCCCAGGGGGCTCCTCCCATCCTCGCCCCCGGGATGTTGGCCCTTTGTGGTACCCCGAAGGCTTTGGGGGGCTGGCGATGGTGGGGCGGATGGGGGTGTCTCACGCCGGTGGCTTTGTTCCGGTGCAGACATGCCTTCAAGCCAACCCATCGATATCCCCGATGCCAAGAAAAGGAACAAGAAGAAGAAGCGCTGCAGAGCCACCGACAGCTTCTCCGGCAGGTTTGAAGGTGAGCGGGGCTGCCTGGGGACCCCAGGGGTACCCCCCAGCCTAGGGCAGGGCTGGAGCCCTCCTGGCATCCCCAGGCTTGGGGACAGCCCAGGGAGAAGGGACAGCGGTGGTGTCCCAGGCTGCGTTGGGGCCGGTGGCTCAGGCAACCTCTCCCCTGCCAGATGTTTACCAGCTGCAGGAGGAGGTGCTGGGAGAAGGGGCCCACGCCAGAGTCCAGTCCTGTGTTAACCTCATCACCAACAAGGAGTACGCGGTGAAGGTAAAGCTCTGCCGCGGACCCGCCTCCCTCCCACCCCCTGCCTCAGTTTCCCTTTCCGCCCTCCACGTCCCGGGCTCTCCCAGCTCCCGTGGTGCTGGCCCAGGACGATGGGTCCGTGGGCTGGAGGGGGAAGGAGAGGGGCAGGAGCGCGGCAGGGCCGTGCCGTGCAGGTGACACGCCGTCCTCCGCCACCGCCCAGCGCCTTCGTCAGCCCCCTTAGCCACGCTCCTCTCCCTGTAAATTAGGGCGGGCGGGAGATTAAATTAATGTTTGCAACGCGTCTGGGGATGCGGGGCGAGCAGGGGTGTGGGGTGCTGGCAGGGTGGCCAGCTCCCACTTGGGTCTCTGTGCCCTGGTGAGCACGTGGGGACTGGAGGGGGTTGGGATGAGCCCGGCTCGTTTTTGGGGCTGGGGCTGGTGGT